GACTTCACAGGAGATCGAAAGAGAGGCTCCTTCCTTCCTGACTGATGCGTGCTCTTGGCCCTGAGGTGTGCTGACAGCCCTGGTGAGATATACTTTGGTCCTGAGGCAGAGCTTGAGCCAGGACGTCCCCCTAAGTGGAAACACAGCTAAATACTTGGGTATGAGAAAGAGAAAGATGAAGAGGTCTGGGTGGCACAGTGAAGGATGGCATGGCAGATCTGACCAGAACCTGCTTTGTTAGTCCTGGGATTTCACAGGGAACAAAGCCCCACACTAGGGATCTCTGACATTGGAACAAAGTCTGACACCACCAAAGACTGGAGAACGGCGCCACCTCCTGGCTGCCTGAGGCCATGACCCTCCTCCGCCGGCAGAACCGTAGGGCTTTTAGGGAGTGTCTGATGTCTTAGCGTCCTAGAATAAAACGACCCTTTGAGCTTGTTTCTGGTGAGCCTGAGATTTTGCTCTTTTACCAACTCCTCCTCCTCACCAACACACCTGCTATTCAGACCCAGATTAGCTTTGGTGCCCAGCATCTGGAGAGGCTTAGAGAAAAAAAAACCCAACATTTCCCCCACCTACATACACACACACACACACACACACACACACACACAAACAAACACACACACACACGTATAAAATCATCCAAACCCAGGGGAGATCAGGCAGGGAGAATGCTTCTTGGAGAGACAGGCCCAAGGAAAGGCAGCCTGATGTAGGGACAGTTTCCTTGTAGCATGATGGTTGCATTAACACTACTCACCCTATAGCCAGTCTGGTAGACACTCACGGTTCATAATTCTCTTGTCACAGGTGAGATATTCTAAGCAAGAAGAACTTACTAGACCTGCCACTTTCGAGTAACCCAGAGGTGTTACACAGAGACAACTGTGAATCACTGAGCTATATCTCTAGGCCCCTTTTAAATTTTTATTTTGTGAATTGCCTAGGCTGGCCTTGAACTCTCCCTGTAGCCCCCAGGTGCTCCTTGACCTTGTGGTCCTTCTACCTCCATCTACTGTAATGGAGGATGCTGGGATTAGAGACCAGCTCAGGTAGGCAAGTCTTAACTTCACCTCTTCATTGGTGAGCTCTGCAAGATCTCCTCGGATACAGGTGTTTCTTAAAAAAGATGAGCTTCAGAGTCACCTCACGGCCCAGTCAGAAGCTCGCCTTGTCTGGAGGAATCACACAAGCTAGGAAAGAGAATCAACCAGACCAATTTACAGAAAAAGAAACCAAGGCTCAGAAAAAATCAAGTGACTTGTCTGGGGCCACCCAGAAAGGCCACAGCAGCCCACATTGGGGGCCCAGCTCTGGCATAACACACATGTACAGCCACGTGACACTTGCTACTGAGGACTCCATAAACAGACTCAGAAGGGCAGGAGGGTCAAGGGAATCGGGAAGTCTAGGGTCTGGACCTCCCCATCTCCTGCACAGTGGCCTGGGGCAGGCTGGGAATGCTTCCATCCTTCAGGAAAGACATGAAAGCAGCTTTCACAAAGTAGGGTCTGAGGCCCACAGATAGGCCCCCTTTGTTCACCGGCTCTCCCTCCCCTCCCTGCCCAGCCTGCAGCAGCCACCTCTTTGAATGGCTTGCTCTCACTCTGGAAATTTGCAACACAAATGTGCGGCCAGTCTCCCTCTCAGCCTGGCCACACTGCCCTAGCCTTTGGGGGCCTTTTAGAAACCGCCTCTCTCTGGGGTGCTCTCTTTTTCTGTTTCCGCTCAAGCCCCAGGACCCTAGACACCGACACAATCACTAATTAAGGCTGGGTTAAAAACACATCTTGGGAAGGAGCCAGCACTGAGTGAGGCCAGCCAGAGCAGGGTGGTGGGAGTCAGAGGTGGAAGCTGGATTTTCATTCTTGGGACTCTTTCTGGCTTTCTCACCCCATCTTAGTGGGCTTGTCAACAGATAAGGCATGCTAACGAGATGGCTCCCAGCTCCCCTAACCATGCCTCCACTTGCTAAGCCACAGCTTGTCACCATCTCCTCACTGGGGAGGCAGGTGTCCTGATCTCCACCTTTGCTCCAGATTCCCACATGGGACAGAGTGCTGTTTCACAGGAATCACTGGCTGCCCTAGATGGTGTGCCTGTTTTAGGCTCCTTTCCTAGCCCAGCTGATGAAGTGCTTCCTGTTTAGAGTGACCTTCCCTTCTCCCACAATTCTTGAGCACTTTTGTATGTGTTTGGAATTGAAGCTTCCCATAACTCTCTGAAGGCTCCAGTGAAGAGAGGTGCTGGGTCCCCCTGTTTCTCAAGGCCCAAATCCAGCGGAGAGGACAGAAGCCCATACATTGCCATATTGGTGGAAATGAGACCCTGGTTCTCGGGATAGCTAGTGCAAAGAGCACTGTGGGCTGGAGGGTAGGGGAGCTAATTAGATGTTTAATAAGAACTTGTAAAAGAAGGAAACAGATGCTCACTTAAGAACTGGCCAGACAGTGCTCCTTCACCCTGGAGGGAATGTAAATGATAAGACTTGGTTCTGGAGGAGAGTTTGGCAGCCAGTTCTTCCTCCTCCTCCTCCTCTTCTTCCTCCTCCTCTTCTTCCTCCTCCTCTTCCTCCTCCTCCTCTTCCTCCTCCTCTTCCTCCTTCTCCTCCCTCTTCCCCTCTTTCTGCTCCTCTTCCTCCTTCTCCCCTTTCTTCCTCTTCCTCCTTCTCCTCTCTTCTCTCCTCCTTCTCCATTTTTGTGTGTATGACTTGTGTGCACACCCGTTATTTTGTGTGTTTATGCCAGCAGCCACCAGCCACAGTGACCCTCCTGAGGTCAGAGGGCAGCTTTTGGGAGTTGATTCTCTCCTTAGACCGTAGGCTCCAGGGATAGAATTCAGGCTCTTGTGCCACAAGCACTTTCACGCGCTAAGCCATTTTAACGCGGCCGTTTAAATATTCAAAGTATTCTCCTACAGCACAACAACAGTTCTGCTCTTAGAGCCCTCGAAGACTGATGAATTTACCCATTCTCACTGAATCTTGCAAAGATTCGTAACTTTTAGACACAATTTTATTTATTTATTTATTTTTAATTTTGTGTGGGTGGTTCTTTTGCCTCGTGTATGAATGAGCTCCCTGTGCATGCAGTGCCCACAGAGGCCAGAAGAGGGCGTTGGGACGCCCTGGGACTGGAGTTACAGATGGCTGAGTCACATTGTGAGGTCAAACATGCGGCCTCTGAAAGAACAACCTGTGCTCTTGATCACTAAGCCATCGCTCCAGCTCTGTAGAGTGATTCTTTTTTTTTTTTTTTTTTTTTGGTTTTTCGAGACAGGGTTTAT